ATTTGTGAGCACAGCGCTGGAGACAACTTCTGTGATTCAGCGTTACCTTATTCATCAGGTTTCCAAAGCCCTTCCTCTAACACATTTTAAATTCAATTCCTATTTCAGAGGCTTACCTGGCAGAGGTCTTCTTTCTTAGCCAATAGTCTCAGGTTAACTTCTTCAGTTGTTGAACCTTTGTGTGGTATTAATCTGTAGAACTCAGTCATCAGCTTTTGCAACTGTGCTGCTGTTTCTCCATTTTTCAGTGCTGCCTTTACTAGAAGGAGAATTCCCTCTGCCTTGGTCACCTTTAAATAGAAGATCATAAATGTTCATTAAAATTAAATCTTAATTATCATGAAAAAAAAAAAGGAAAATAGCTGGGACCAGCAGATGGTGTAATGGTTACACCGCTGGACTCCTACATAATCCACCGCAGTTTGAGTCCTGGACCTGGTGGCTTACAACTCACACCAGGCATGTGTGTATGTGTGTGCCCAAGATCCTGAGAGGGGAATGGAGGAAAAGGGACTGTGGAGTGGCCATCTCCCCTGGGGGATGATTTCTCACTTTCTGTCTCTCTGTTGAGCATATGCGCCCTAAAGCCAAAAAAAAAAAAAAAGTGAAAAAGCATGTATAACGGGCCTTTAAAAAGTTCATGGAGGGACCAACAGTTGGTGTAATGGCTATGTTGCTGGACTCCCCAAGTCCTGGACCCGGTGGCTTAAACTCACGACGGGTGCGTGTGTGTGCGTGCCCAAGATCCCAATAGGAGAATGAAAGAGAAGAGATTGTGTGAACATCCCCCCTGGGGAGTGATTTTTTGTTTTTGTTTTTGTTTTTCTTTTCTTTCTTTCTTTCTTTTTTTTTTTTTGAGAGGTTTTTGCTATAGGGTGCGTGTGCTCACCAGACAGACAAAGAGAGATAGAGAGATAGAAAGCGAGAAATCACCCCCCAGATGGGATGGCCACGCCGCAATCCCTTCTCCTCCGTTCTTCTCTCAGGATCTTGGGCATGCATGCACACGTGCCTGGCGTGAGTTAAAAGCCACCGGGTCTGGGATTCGAACCACGGTCGAGTACGTGGGAGTCCAGCAAAGAGCCATTATGCCAACTGCTGGTCCCTCTTGCTTTCTGTCTCTCTGTCTCTCTCTGTCTTTCTGGCGAGTGCACGCACCCTATAGCAAAAACCTCTCCAAAAACCAAAAAAAGAGTTAATGGAAAGTGGAATTAAACTATGAGTTTATTCTGACACACCAAAAAATTGAAATCCATGCACAATTTTATCATAATACTAATTTTCCATGAATTTTTTTTAAGACTCCTTATACAAAAATACCTAAAACAATGTTGAACATGCTGCAACTTTCAGGTTTTTCTTTTTTTCAAATTGTCAGAGGCCATGTGCACTTGCCAGGGAGAAAAAGAGAGGGGGGAGAGAAAGCACCACATGATAGGGGTGGTCATGCCACGCCCTGCTTTTCTCCTCCAGTTCCCCATCCTGTCAGTATTTGAGTCATGAACACACACATGCCCAGCATATTTTCCAAGATGCTGGGGCTGGGATTTGAACCACGGTCGGCCACGTGGGATCCAGCTCCCAAGACACAGTGCTTAATCGCTGTGCTATAGGGCTGGCCCACAACTTTCGGTCTGTTGCTGAACAGCTGCCATAAAGCACATACTGGTCCTTACTGGAAACCTATCTCAGCTGCGATGGGGATGCCTTAAGCACTCTTCCGAAACTAGGCTCAGCTTATCTAAAGAACCAGAGTTCTCTTTCTGTGTGTGTGTGTGTGTGTGTGTGCGTGTGTGCATGTATATCCATATCCATATATATATACAGAGATAGGAAGACTAATGCAACTGTAGAAGCCTTGCTTTTCCCATGAGGATTTTAGAAAGATGTTCACCTCTCACCAGGAACAAAATCTACTAGATCACATTTCTCTTTTTTTTTTGGAGAGGTTTTCGCTACAGGGCGCATGCGCTCGCCAGACAGAGAGATACAGAGACAGGAAGCAAGAAATCACCCCCCAGGGGGGATGGTCACGCCACAATCCCTTCTCCTCCATTCTCCTCTCGGGATCTTGAGCATGCATGCACACACGCCCGGCATGAGTTTTAAGCCACCAGGTCCGGGACATGAACCGTGGTTGACTACGTGGGAGTCCAGTGACATAGCCATTAGGCCAACTGCTGGTTCCCCAGATCACATTTCTAATTATACAAGTGCTTTATTGACTTTACTCCAAGACACCTATTTCTCCCTGAAGTAAATGAATTTAATTCTACAGAAGAAAACCATCAGCATGATCTTAACATGACAGAGCAATTGCATGAGTTATACACTGGGGGAAATCTTCATTTGCTGTTTCAATTGCAATGACACAAGGAGAGAGCCTTTGATGGTGGGTTGGAAGGATCCCTGCCTTTCTGAAGACCGTCACAAGCCTGAGAAGTAGACACTGCAAAGTGGATTAAGGCCCAGGCATCTAAGTGGGGACCAAGACTGCTCATGTTCCCCGGGCCTCCTGCAAGCCTCTTGGCCCAGAGGATTGGGCCAGTATCAAATGCCTACATTTGATTAGCCCAGGTGGCTAACGTTTTACAGACAGAAATGTCTAGTTTTCTTTATTTTCCCTTTAGCGCTTGATGTTCTCTTTTTTTCAGGGTACAAAGAAAGGAGAATCAGGAGTGAATTCCAGAGCAACTGGACCAGCATGCAAATACAAATGTTATCCTTTAAGCTAATAAATCAGGGGTCAGATCTGTCAGGTTCGGTTTCAACAGCACGCTTGACTTACGTCATTGAGGCTGATCTCATTCACCGGCCTGAGAAGCGTGTGCTCCAGGTGACCCAGAGCTTCTGCCCAAATCATCTCCACCAAATCGCTCACCTCTTGGCTCAGAGGGCTTGAATTTATGACCTCTTCCAAAAGCAACTGCAACAAAAAATAACAAAGAGATACCCAAAAGTCATCCTGAGTGAATCTCCATAAAATTAGTGTTGGGTGGGGCTGGTAGGCAGCGTGGTGGTTAAGGCATGGGACTCCCATACGGCCGACCATGGTTTGAATCCTGGACCTGGTGACTTGCTTTTTCACTTTCCCTCTCTCTCTTTCTGTCTCTCTCTGGTCAAAGTTTTAAAAATAATAATAAATAAAGAATTGAAAATTAGCCTGGGGCTAAGCAGTGGTGCAGTGGTAATTCAACTGGACCGATGTGATATAGGTCCTGGGTTTGCATCCTCAGACCTCCCTGTCCATGCCAGGCATGTGTGTACCTGTGATCGGACTGGCTGAGACTGGCGGTGGATTGCTGCATGAAGACCTGTTTGGGTGCTTGTCTCTCTCTTCCTCGTGGAAGAAATACAAAAATAAACTTTTTATAAAAAGTCTTACCTTCTGTTAAAAAAACAAAACTAACACAGATCGACTGACAGAGGCGTGAGAAGAAATATTTAATTCTGGCCTAGGAGAGTCACCCTCAGCCAAGCAGCTGTGCTGTCCTAGGCCTCCTTTTCTGCTGGTCTCGCCCTCCATGATCTCTGTACACCCTCTCTGACCACCCACCCTCTTTTCTCCCATCTTATTTTCCCTCCTGCCGTTCCTTTACTCTGTCAGTGGCATTAAACACATGCAGTCAGGGTTGAGGACCCTTGACTCACAGCCGAGATTATAAGGGAATCTTTCAAAAGCTGTGAAAGCTGGAACCAGCAGTTAGCGTTATGGCTATGTTGCTGGACTCCCATGTAGCCAACCGCGGTTCGAGTCCCGGACCCGGTGGCTTAAAACTCACGCTGTGGGCATGTGTGCGTGTGTGCCCAAGATCCCGAGAGGAGAATGGAGGAGAAGGGATTGCGGCATGGCCATCCCCCCTGGGGGGTGATTTCTCGCTTTCTGTCTCTCTGTCTCTGTCTTTCTGGCGGGTGCACGCGCCCTATAGCAAAAACCTCTCCAAAAAAAAAAGCTGTGAAAGTTCACTGCTGAAATAACCAAGGAGACTTGTGGCTCATCCTAGAAATCACTTCCCACTGAGCCTCCACGCCTTTCTTTCTGTGGGTTCACCTTTTCTTTTCTTAACTCCTCTTCTCTCCTGCCTGTTTTTAACTAGTAATAAAGAGAATATTTTTCTTAAAAGTATTCAGTCAGCCCAATACAAAGTAATGACAAACAATTGAAATGCTAATTACTCTGATTCAAGCATTACACATTGTAATCATGTACTGAAAAAAAAATGCACTATACCCCACAGACAGTACATTCTATGTTAATAAAACATGAATAAATAAAATGGAATACAAAATATCACATGTAAATCAATCTTACTGCTTGCAGCTTTTCAGATGCTAATTGGGTCGCTTCAGGGGTAAAATGTTCTCTTAGTAGAAATCCTTGTTTCTTCAGCGCTTCAATGTAATTTTCGTAGTATTCACTTGCATCTGCTGATGTTTTCTTCACAGTGAACTGTCTTCTAGTCTGTGGGTTACAGTATATAACAAAGGAACAGAAACTTATTAACATCTCTGTGTTTACTGAACACCTACTATGTACTGAACAGAAATGAGGCCTCAGGTCCCTGCCATGAAGGAGATTAGAAACCAGTTTTTTTTCCCAAGATTTAAATCTTCAGTTCTTCACTTTTTTTTTTTTTTTTTTTGAGAGAAAGATGTTCTTCTATAGGACACGTGTGCTTGTCAGAGAGAAGAGACAGATGGAGAGAAAGTGAGAAATCACTCCCTGGGGGGGATAGCCACACCACAATTCCTTCTACTCCGTTCTCCTCTAGGGATTTTGGACACACACTCACATGAGCCCTGTGTGAGTTTGAAGCCACCAGATCTGGGACTCAAACTGTATTCGTCCATGTGTGAGTCCAGTGCCTTAACCACTATGCCGCCTGCTGGCCCCTCTACACAAAATTTTAAAACCCTGGAGGCAAGCCTGAGCAGGCACAATAGATAGAGAAGAAACATTTGGTTCATTAGAGTCTCTCAAACATTCACTCGAGACCACACTCTTACTTGACATACCATTTTGATTGGCTTTGAAGTCTGACTTTCCATCTTTTTGGAAATGAGAAACAGATGGGGGAATGGGAAAGAATGAAAATACTTCAGAAAGAAGATATTGATAGAGATAGGCACATAGTCAAAGTCAAATGTTAGCTTTGGACAAGGAGCGGGCCAAGAAAGTTATTGGGTCATTCAGACAACATTAAAGGTACAGAGCAAGGGGTTCTGTGGAAAGATAAATTCCTCTCGCATTCCAAAACGCCTATGCATGTGGTATTTCTAGCTCTCCTTGGAAATCCCTGCCCTTGAAATGAGCAGTGATCCGAACATTATCTCCAGAGAATATGGGAGAATTGGTCCCTGCTGGGTGCCCCAGTATAGGTGTGAGCCAAGCCCCTGTTACTGGGGTGCACATCTCCCCTGAGGAGGAAGTCACACTACCTATGACCCTGACAAGCTGTCCTTTCAGACTTGTGGTTGCGGGACTCCTCTGAAACTTCACACACACACACAGTGCATGTCATTCCACTTAAAAAGATAGAGTTTAAGATAATTTTGTAAGATGTCCATGGAAATGGTTTGTAAAATCCTCTCTGTGGAAGCTCTTTCATTGCTGGTTAAGTGAGGATCATTTCAGTCAAGGAGGACAGGCTTTTCTCAACAAACCAGGCTCCCTGAAGGAGCACTGCTATGGGTTAGTTAATGATCCCCCCCCCTCCAGGGTTCATGTGTTGTACTTTGGTCCCTAATGTAATGGCATTGGGAAGTGGTGAGACCTGTAACAAAAAGACCTTCAATGGGTGGGCACCTTCCAGTTGTCTGGGAGCACAGTAAGAACAAAGAGGAAGTGGAAACCTCTTTCCTCTTTCTCTTCTTTCCCTTTACACATGCCTGCCTTCCTCTCTCCTTCTGTTGGCCATGTTGCAATGCTGGCCCCACGCTGTTGGACTTTCCAGCCACCAGAATCATGAGCCAAATAAACCTCCATTCTTTATAAATTACCCAGTTATCACAATAACTAAGCTCTTCACTGGCGTTGTAAAGTTCAGGCTTGCTAAGGGAAGGAGATACCCTGGAAGGAACAGGATGACCTATGCATCATGACATCAGAGTGCTTTTTAATGAAGAAACAAAAAGTATAGCACATTGTCTTTGGAAATCAGAAAAACAGATAAGAGAAGAGGGAAGAGAAGAAAATACCTAAGAGGGAGCAGCAATGGTATAATGGTTACATCACTGGACTCCCACATAGCCAACAACGGTTCAAGTTCCAGGCCTGGCAGCTTCAAACTCACACTGGATGCATGTGTGTGTATGCCCAAAATCCCCAGAGAAGAATGGAGGGGGTAGGGATTGTGGCCTGGCCATCCCCCTGGGGGCGTGATTTCTCACTTTCTGTCTCTCTGTCTCTCTCTCCAGTGAGCACGTGTGCCCTATAGCAAAAATCTCTCTCTCTCTCTCTAAAAAAGAAAGAAAGAAAGAAAGAAAGAAAGAAAAAAGAAAATACCTAAAAAAGGTATCGCTAGAGACAGACATGCAAGTGAGATGATAGCTTCCAGCAAGGAGGAAGCCAGGAAAGTCACCAGGCCGTGCAAACAACATTAAAGGCACAGCGCGAGGGGTCTGTTGATTTTTACTTACCGTTTCCTAAACAACTAAATCCCCCACAAAATACAGTACACATTTTTGGGTACAAAGTTAACAAAATCATTTCTCTTTCTTGGCACATTTGACTTGGATTGACTAACTCTGTTCCTATGGAAACCTAATAAAAGTGAAGTGTCAGCTGTCACACGAGGCAGAATTGCTTAGATAAAAGTGGCCATTCATTAATAAACTGTGTTGGGATTTGGAGTTCAAGGAATGAATGCTGGAAACCCAAGCTCTGGGCTTCCCTGAAAGTGGAGCCTCAAACATGAGGTGACTTCAAAAAGTTTGCAGAAAAATGGAATTAAAGTAGGATTTATGTTGGTGCAAAAGTTCTTAAGATCTGTGTAGTTCTTTCATAATGTACATTTTCCACAAACTTTTTGAAGTCCCTCCTTGTACCTAGGTATGTCCCTTAAGGGCATCTGGAATGTGGAGTGATGTTAAAAGAGAGTCAGGTGGATCTTGTACCCCCCTGATGTGAGTCTCCCTCCCTCGCCCCTGAGCTCACACCTTGGGCTGGAGCAAGGAGACGCTTCTGAAGCCAGTGTGGACTGCTGTGCGGACCATCACCAGAGAAGCTCCTGAGTGTCCAGCAGCTGCTGTGTTTCCTGGACCACAGTAGGTCTGTAAGTCTGAATGTCTAGCTGAGAAGATGATGCCCTGGTGGGTGATTTCATTTGAACTTTAGGTATTAATTCCAAATGTACTTTTGTTTCATAATTGTTTTAGATGGACACTATGCCCTTGATACCAGCCTAGGGCAAAGGTTACAGCCTCTGTAAAGCCTTGGTTCCCAGTGCTCTGTGAGCCCTCATACTTTATAACTTTATACACTTTTTTAACAATTATTTTATTTAATTTTATCAATTGTCATTCATTCATTCATTATTTATTTGTTTGTTTGTTTATTTGAGGTTGACCAGAGAGAGAGAAGGAAAGTAAGAAAGCAAGCTGCCAGGTCTGGGACTTGAATTGTGGGCAGCCATGTGGGAGTCCAGTGCCTTAACCACTATGCCACCTGCCGGCCCCATACTCTATACACGTTTTAGAAATAGAGCTGTAACCGTGGGTTGCAATGATGAACATGTTGTTTCCTGATGGTGCTATCTGAGGGTGAGGGTATTAAGCGTTCTTTATCTGGGGGCCCTACTCAAGTGCTTAGTGCATAGCAGGTGCCTAATGAAGTGTGTTAGTGGACTGCCTTAGAGGCGTAATATTAAGAAACAAGACTAGGCACCCTATATGCCCTCTACCCAGTGAATGTGCTCCTCTGGCAGAACCCTGTGCCATGCTAGTTGGGGGCACAGCTCTCACCTCACACACTCCAAAAGAAAAGCACAACTCCGCTTTGCAAAACTATTTACCAGGTGTTGTGGGCTGAACTGTGTCCTCCCAAAATTCGTATGTGGAAGTCCTAATCCTCAGAATGGGATTGTATTTGAAGATAGGGCCTTTACAGAGGTAATTACAATAAAATGAACTGATGAGGGTAGGCCCTGTCCCCTATGCCTGATGTCCTTATAAGAAAAGGAGAGGGACCAGCAGTTAGCATAGGGATAGCAGTTAGCTATGTCGCTGGACTCCCATGTAGTCGACCGCGGTTCGCATCCCGGACCCAGTGGCTTAAAACTCACGCCAGGTGCATGTGCGTGCGTGCCCAAGATCCCGAGAGGAGAATGGAGGAAAAGGGATTGCGACGTGGCCATCCCCCCTGGGGGGTGATTTCTCGCTTTCTATCTCTCTGTCTCTCTCGGTCTGTCTGGCGAGCGCACACGCCCTATAGCAAAAACCTCTAAAAAAAAACAACGAACAAACACCCAAAAAAAAAAAAAAAAAAAAAAGGAGATTGGGGAGTCCAGTGGGTGGCATGGTGATTAAGGCACTAGACTCCCACATAGCTGTCAATGGTTCAAGTCTCAGACCTGGCAGGCTTGAAAATCACGCAGGGAGTGCGTGCCTCCATGCCCGAAATCCAGGGAGGAGAGTGAGATAGAAGAGATTGTGGTTCAGCCATCCCCCCCGGGGGGTGATTTCTCACTTTCCCTCTACTGTCTCTCTCTTTCTCTCTCTCTGTTTCTCACATGAGTGTACTCACACTATGGCAAAAGTCTAAAAAAAAAAAAAAGGCAAAGGAGATTAGGATACGAGTACAGTGGAAAGGCCATGCGAGGACAGAAGGTGCTCATCTGCAAGTGAAGGAGGGAGGACTCGGAAGAAATCAATCCTATGCACCTCGATCTTGGACTTCTGGCCTCCGATGCTGTGAGAACTCAGTATCTGTCCCCCAGTCTATGGCGTTTGTGATGGCAGGCCTAGCTGACTCAGACACCAGGGAAGAATGAAGATGTCGGCAGGTTGGCTAACCTTTTAAGGAAACTAGTTACGAATGGGGGTGAATAAACACAGGGATCAACATAAAGAGTATTACCTGCACGCCGTCAGCCAGAAGAAAGTGTGCAAATATCAGAAAAGGACACTCCGCAGGGGCCTGGGAGCACCGCAGCTCCACCACTGCCACTTCCTGGCCTCCCTCTGCCCCGGCCTGGAAAACAAGGCATGCTATCAGAAGCTCTTCGAGGAAAAGAACACACTACACATGCCATTTGCAAGTGTGGATTACAATTACGCTGTAACACATGTTCATCTAGAGATATAACGTAGAAAATACAGAAAAGTATCAGGAAGAAAATAGAACCACCGGAAATCCTACTATTGGTGTATAATCACTATTAATAGCCTGGTATTTTTCCCTCCTGTATTTTTACTATAGATACATGTTCATATTGTACTGCTTTTCATGTTTATTTCATTATAGAGGGAAATGTTATTTTCAAATCACATTTTATTAAAATATCTATAAGATACAAATACAGCATCATTTTGAAAGCTAGTGTTGATTTCCACTTGCAGGACTTTGTCAAAGGAAAGTTTTTTAGAAATCAATTTAATACAAAAGGATGGAACTGCAACATGGTGTAAACAGTGTTAAATCTACCTTTCCATACACAAGAAATTGTTAATTACAGAGAGGAGGAATTTTATGTTCAATGCCATGTTTGTATTTCATACTGTTTAAAATGTTTATTTTAAGCATGCATTACTTTTATAACAAAAACACTTAAAATGTTCAACATAAAACTTTAAATGGGGCCAGCTCTGTGGCCTGGTGGTGAAGGCAGCCAGATCCAACACGGCTAACCCCACGGTGCGAGTCCCGGACACGGTGGCTTGAGAAACATGGCAGGCATGAACGCTCACGTGTGCCTCCAATCCTGAAGGATGGAGACATGGGAAAGGGACTGAGGCATAACCATCCTCCATGAAAGTCGACGGTGGCTTGAGAAACATGGCAGGCATGAATGCTCACGTGTGCCCCCAATCCTGAAGGATGGAGACATGGAAAAGGGACTGCGGCATAACCATCCTCCATGAAAGTCGCTTTCTCACTGTCTCTCTCTCTTTCTCTCTTTGGGGAGCACACGCATCCTCTAGAATTTTTTTTTAAAAGAAAAATGAACTCACATATTAATGAATACAATCATCCCTTGTATTGCAAGGGAGCTGGTTCCAGGATGCTCATGGATACCAAATTCTAAGGAGGCTCTAGCCCTTTATGTAAATTGATTTAGTATTTGCACATAACCTACACACACCTAAATACTTTAAATAATCTCTAGATTACGTATAATACAGTGTAAATGCTCTATAAATAGTTGTGCTGCTCTTGTTTAGGGAATAATGGCGGGGAGTCGGTACAACGTTCAGTACAGACGCAGCCATCGTAAGCTTAACTGCGGAGTACACACTGCAGATCAGTACCGAGGTCACAGTTTCCATCCCCTGTTGGTTGAATTCGTAAATGCTGAACCCTCAGACATGGAGGGCCAACTGTAGATGATATCTGGGATATGCACAATTTTTCAAGGCAATGAGAAAATGATCAAACAGGAAAAACATCCAGAAGACACTCCATCAGTTGTGTTTTTTTCCTAAATAGAAACCAGACTCACCTTTTCCAGGGAATTATATTTTGCAACTTCGAAATCTTGAGGAAAAGGAGGAATTTCAACATTCTCTGTATAAAACCTGAAAGTCGTATAATTAAAAATTTAACACCAAAGTGGATTTTTAGGCAATAGAGAATTTCATAATAGTTTTCTCATAGATCTTCTAATTTCTTACAAAATACCTAATGCCTTTTTAGGTATCCCAGAAATAGTTAAAAGATAGCTAAAATGAGCTGGGGTCTTCCTCTGCATAATTCTTGAGCTCTGAAGGCCGAGCTTTGCGTCTGCACTGGACAGTGGAAGCTGCTACAGGAGCAGAGTGTAAAAGACGGTGCTGGGGTAGACTGCTGCTCACCATGCTGAGGCCACACAGGACGCTCAGGCTCATTTCTGGTGGGTCCTAGAGCCCTGAGCCACAGTGTCAGTGGTTAGTCCCAGCTACCAGAGAGACAGAGGCAGAAACATGCTGAGACTCTGTCTTCAAATAAAGGAAAAAGAGGGGCCAGCAGATGACGTAGCAGTTACATGACTGAATGCCCCATGGTGACCTCGATTTGAGTTCCAGATGTGGTGACTTGAAAGTCCTACTGGGCACATTTGCGTGTGCCAAAGATCCTGGGAGGAGAATGAAGGAGAAAGGGATTGCAGCACAGCCATCCCCCCGGGGGAAGATTTCTCACTTTCCCTCTCACTGTCTGTCTCTTTCTCCAGTGAGTGCACATGCCCTAAGGCAAAAACCTCTCAAAGGAAAAGATATTGCTGTACATTTGTCACTCCTTTCTTGGACCATAGTCAACTCCTTTTCTCTCTCTCGTTCTTTTTTTTTTAAAGAGAGAAATGTTTTCTATAGGGCATGTGTACTCACCAGAGGGACAGAGAGACAGAACTGGCATGAGTTTAAGCCACCGGGTTTGGGACCTGAACCGTGGTCGACTATGTGGTAGTCCAGCAACATAACCATTATGCCATTTGCTAGTCCCATAGTCAACTCCTTTTAAAGACAATCAAGTGTAAAATAAATTCTGTACTTTTTATTTTGTTCTCTGTTAACACTACTATTAACAAAGAGGATAAGAGCAAATGTGATGCTCAATTAACATTGCAGTTTGGGGTATGCTTTAAAAAGTGGTATAGAACTTTAGATTCACATACGCCATTTGAGAAGGGTAGTTGTTATTTCCAGTTTTGAAAATATTGGGGGCAGAGTAAGGAATTTACTCTAAAGCCTGCTCAGTTAGGCAATCTGCCCAAATCTTATTGCCCATGGCTTTTATTTTCAAAACTAATTGATCTAATAATTACATCCAATTTCATAAATGTAATACTGAAAACATCAAAATAATTATCACTGGGGTCAGCAGGCAGCACGGTGGTTGGGGAGCTGGAGTCCTATGTGGCCGACTACGGTTCAAGTCCTGGATCAGGAGACTTCCTTTCTCGCTTTTCTTCTCTTTCTTTCTCTCTGGTGAACACACATGCCCTTTAGCAAATTAAAATAATAATAATAAAATTAATAAATAATTATCACTATATTAATTAAAGTAAAGTCAAACAAATAAAAAACCTAATAAAGAGTTAAATAACCAAAATCAATTCAAGTATTGGGTTGTCGGGACCGGCAAGTGGTATGGTGGTTAGGGGGTCTGGATTCCCCCA